CCACATTAGCCGGCACTTGGGAAGGGGAACTGTCCGCTTCCACATGGAGCTTGATTATCTTTAGGGATTTTTTTTTTAATTATCATTATTATTAATCATTTGTGATCAGTGGCGAGATGCAGAGTGGAGCCGACTCCGCCAGAGGCTCCAGAGCCCGGAATTTTTGCGGGAACGCGCAGGTGCTGGGAGCCAAGAACGTGCAAACTACCTCAGAGCTGCCCGAGAGCCGGGAATCGCGGCCGGGCGAGGGGATCGCTCGCTCCCGTCCAGCCTCGGCCACCGGCCTTGCCACCACGGAGGAATTTTGGCACGGCGGGAATATCCACATCCCTGCGCCGGAGCGAGGAGGACGAACACTGTAGGGAGGAAGAAGAGGAAGAGCGTCGGGTGAGGATGCTGCCCGGGACCTGGGAGCATCCCTGCGAGCAACCAGCTCCAAAGCAGCGCGCGTTCGACCCCTGCTTCTTTACCGGCCCTTGCAGGTTTTTAATATTGATTTTTATTCTTTTTCTTCAATTTTGATACCTCTGGTGCGGGCCGCAGCACGTGGAAGGTTATGGACTGTGGAAAGGCCGAGGCACCACCAGCYGCCGCCGCTTCCCCCTGGGAGATTCCCCGGAGGCGGCGGCTCCGTGGGAGCGGTTTGACCCGGCAGATGTGGCACGAAACGGTTCAGTTTTCCGAGGCAAAGCCCCAGGTTTTCCTTCAAACAAGGAGCTCGGCCGCGGCCCCGACCCTCCGTGTAACCAACCTGTTTGTGTTTATCTACCTCTTAGCGACAATAGATTAAAAATAGGTAGTGGCAACTCCACGGGCGGTAGCGTAGGGGGGATAAAAGAAAAAAAAAAAAAAAGATGATGAAAAAAAGACTCTTTTTTCCAAAGAAAAATAATGTTCTTTAAAAATAGACTTTACGGACTTTCTTTCTCACTTCTCCTTAGTTGTAAAGGTTCCCAACCCTCAGCAACCTGARATGTTCGCTTGAGACTGAGTTTTTATCTTTCTTTTTAATGCTCAACTCTCCGCTCCTTTTGGTTTGGTCTGTTTTCTTTTTTTTCTTTTTTCTTTCCCGTTTTCACCTTGCTGTTTCCTTCTCCTTTCCGCGGGCTCCGCTCCTCCGGCAGCAAGGTTTCGCCACAAACCGCTCGACTCCACTGTTCTGTTTTTTAAGAATAAAATTTAAAAAAACAAACAAACAAAAAAAAACCCAAGCAGACAAACAACCAACCTCTAACTGCAGCCACGTGTGGTTTTATTTATCAGCCGGGGGGAGGAAAATACATATAAACGCAGGGAAGGGGGGAGAGGGGCCTGTGGGTGCTGCTGGCGCTGGGCCGAGGGCAGGGGTCCCCGGGGAGGTTTTTAGGGAAAGACAGCCCAAATTTTCCTTTCCGTGGGTTCAAATTCCTTGTTTTTGGGGGGATTGGAGGGCGCTGGTTGCAGGTGACGGGGAGCGCGTTGTGCCGGAGGGGACCAAAAGCGCCAGTCCTGGCCCCAATCCGGACCCCGCTGGTGGTCCCGAAGTGTCACCCGGGGACGGGGGTGACAGCGGCCGGGAGCGGGGCCCGGGGGGGTCGGGGGGGCCCGGCCTTGCCCGCAGGCCCGTTTCCCCCCGTTGGGCGCGGGGACAGGACGGGGCGCCGCTGCCGCGGGAGCCGGGATGGATGCCGGCGTTTTCCCGGGAGGACGCGGGGGGGATTCCCGGTTCCCGGGCGCTGCCGCGCGGGAGCGGAGCGGGGCNGGCCGGGGCCGCCGCGGCAGCGCTGAGGGCGGCGCGGCGGCGCTCACCACGCAGCGGTCCCATGGTGTAATGGTTAGCACTCTGGACTTTGAATCCAGCGATCCGAGTTCAAATCTCGGTGGGACCTCGCGCTCTTTTTTGCGCCCCTCCAACCGGGCGCGCTCCGCTCCGCTCCGCGGGACGGCGGGCGGCGCCGGCACCGGAACCGACCCGCGCCCCGCGCCGGTACCGGCCGCGCTCCATTTCGTGCGGGGGCCCCCGCTCCAAACGGCGTTCCAACGCCCTGCGCATGCGCGCAGCCAGCGCCCGCCGCCCACCGTTCCCTCTGCGCGCGCCCATTGGCTGCGGCGGGACGGGGGAGGAAGCGGCGGCCGCTTCCCGGCGTTGCTATTGGCTGCGGCGGGGCCCGCCCACCTCCCGCGTTGTCCCTCGTTACGTTGTCGCGGCGCCCCCGCCCCGCCCCCCCGCGGTCCTCCCCCTCCCCTTCCCGTTTTCCCGTTTTCCTCTTCCCGTTTTCCCGCTCTGTCCTAACGAACACAGTTCCCGTTGTCCGCTCTGCCCCCGGCCGCCGCCCCGGGCCCGGCTCACGAGGGATTTGTGTCCCTGCCGGATTAGGGGCGCGGACGGGCTCCGGTTTCCCGAGGGAGCGGGAGGCCGGGGGCGCCGGGGGCCTCGCCGCGGGTCGGGGTCCCCTCAGGTGTGCGGGGGGGGCCGCCACCTTGTGCCCTTGTCCTGCTGTTTCGGCCAGGGACACCCCGAGGGGGCCGCCATGGTGCCAGTGCCAGCCCCACAGAGCCCAACGGTGCCCGTCCCAGCCCCACTGAGTCCAATGGTACCAGTCCCAGCCCCACAGAGCCCAACGGTGCCAGTCCCAGCCCCACTGAGCCCAACGGTGCCCGTCCCAGCCCCACAGAACCCAGTGGTGCCCATTGCAGCCCCATTGAGCCCAACGGTGCCCGTCCCAGCCCCACTGAGTCCAATGGTACCAGTCCCAGCTCCATTGAACCCAACAGTGCCCATCCCAGCCCCATTGAACCCAACAGTGCCCATCCCAGCCCCATTGAGCCCAACGGTACCAGTCCCAGCCCCACTGAGCCCAGCAGTGCCTGTCGCAGCCTCACGGAGCCCAATGGTGCCCATCACAGCCCCACGGAGCCCAACAGTGCCAGTCCAGGCTCCACGGAGCCCAATGGTACCCGCGCCAGCCCCATTGAGCCCAACAGTGCCCGTTGCAGCCCCATTGAGCCCAACGGTACCAGTTCCAGCCCCATGGAGCCCAACGGTACCAGTTCCAGCCCCATGGAGCCCAACGGTGCCCGTTGCAGCCCCATTGAGCCCAACGGTGCCCATCCCAACCCCACGGAGCCCAACGGTGCCCGTCGCAGCCCCACGGTGCCCTCGCTGCTCCGCAGCGGCTGCAGGGCAAGGCTCCCCACCGACAGCGGGTGCTGGGGGAGCCCCATCCCCCGGCGGGGGGCTCGGCGAGCGCCGGGACCCCCGTGCCCAGCCCCACACGTTGGCTCAGGGGCTGCTCAAACCGCCCCAGTGCCCCTTGCAGGGAGCAGAACCGGCCGCGCGAGCCCACACGCGCCCGCCCCGTCTCCGGGGCTGCTTTATTGGGAGCCACGGACAGGTTTGCCATCCTGGAGCTGAGCTAATTCGGGGTGCGAGCCCCCGTCCCCAGCGCGGGGAGAGGCTACGGGGAAAGCGGCTCCCTGCGGCGGGGTCAGCTGATGGTGCAGCCGCCCTTCTCCTTGAAGGGGTTCTTGTCCTCGGGGACGCCCTTCAGCAGCGGGTCCTCTCCCGCCATGGACTCGATGTATTCCTTGAGCTCCCTGCCGGTCTTGGAGACCTGCGAGGAGGGAGAAGCTGTCTCTCAGGGAGCTGCCCGTCGCGCGCGGCCCTGCTCGGCGCYGGGCGCACTCACCATTTGCCGCTCGTTCTTCACCTCCTTCTTCAGCTGGTCCAGCTCCATCTTCAGCAGCTCCTTCTCGGTCATGTCCTGAGCCATTTTGCCCTGCAGTTGGCAAAAAAAAGCAGCCCCTTCCTCGCAGCTGAGCTTTGCTTAGGGCTCACGAGGAGCTAACAGATAGACTTCGGGATGGCCATTAATAAAAGCACATATAGGTGACCGGGGACTTAAAAAGGAGTTGAGAAAAGCRCCGGGGGTGGCACGCCGAGGGGCTTCCTAGTGCTGGCGATGGCAAAGCCCAGCTCCCTCTTTGCAAACACCCCGCCAAGGGGCTGTGTGAGCTCCGCGGAAGCAGCGTTCCCAAAGGAAAAGCCGAAGCGGGGCGTGAAACCCCGGYTCCGGCTCGCTGGGCGGAAAGGCTGCCCGCCCGCGGGGACGGAGGCGCCAAGCGCGGGGGCATCGCGCCGCGCTGCCCGCGTGGAGCAAACCGAGTCACTCACCCACGGGACGAGGGTCTCGGCGCSGCGCGGGGGCTCGGGGGCTCGTAGGGCGCCCGGCGCGCGCTCGCTGCCCGGCGCTCGCCGCCCCGCGCGCTCCCCGGCGCCGGGAGCAGATGTCTTTGCTCCCTAAGCTGATAATGGACTCAGGCCGCTAAGCCGCTCAGGTGCCGGGCATTAGCCCTGCAGCGGGGTGAGCAGGACCGGGGGGGTGGCCGGGACGCGGTGGCCGTGGATGGGGCCTTGGGGACCSGGTGTGGCCAGCTCGGGAATGGGGGATTCATCCTTTGGGAACTGGAGGCGGTTTAGAGGAGGGCAGAGGAGCGCGGCTGGGCTTGCGGGCTGCAGGGAAGGGGGGTTCCCACGTGGCGAGGGGACTGGGTCTCTTGGGACTGGGGCTGTGCTGGTCTCGCTGGGAGCGTCACTGGGGACGTCACTGCAGCATCCTCGAATCCAGGCCCGTCGGAGCGGGATCAGGGAGCAGCCGGCTGCAAAGCCCAAGGGCCAAGCTGGCCTCGCTGGGCCGGGCGGCCCAGCCCAAGTGCACCCTCAGTGCCACCCCAAGCCCGGGCGTCCCTTGGGTGTCCCAGGACTAAGGGCCAAACTCGGTGCAGGATGAAGCCCATCCCTGGCGCCGACCTGCCCGCTGCAAGGGCCACTTCCCCGGTGCCCATTCCGGGTGCTCCAGTGTCCCCCGTGCTGGGGCACCGGCGGCGGCTTGGCGCTGGGAAAGGCCCCGTGGCGGCCGAGGGGGCGGCGAGCGCCGGCGCGCGTGACTCACATCCTGCCGGCGCTTCCCGCCGCGCGGCACGCGCAGCCGGTGCCGGAGCGCGGCCGCGGGCACCGCGCCATGGCCGAGCCGCGGGGCGACATCCCCGCCGGCCGGCGGCTCCTGCGCGAGCACCACGGCCAGCTGGCCAAGGTGGCCGACTACTGCGAGAGCAGCTACGTGCAGGTGCGGCCGGGCGCGCGGGCGGCTCCCGGCGCGCGGGAGGCTCCGGGACGGCCCCTGTCCGCTCCCGTCCTTGGCACTGGGGCATTCGGGGCTCCCTGCGAGGGCCGGGAATGTCACCCCGATGGGGATGGGGGGGGAGGAAGATGATGGCCGGGCCTTGGGGAGGGCTGGGATAACGCCGGSATACGGTGCCGTGAGTGCGGGGCTYTCCAGGTGCCGYGGGTCCCTCGCCGGAGCGCAGCGATCTTCAGCCCTCCCTCCTCCTCCTCCCCGGCCTTCCCCYGCTGCCCCATCTGCCGAGGGGCTTTTGGGGTGAAAATGGAAGAAAAAAAGGCTGTTTGGGCCGGGGTTGCGCAGGGGGCTGGTTCCGCAGGGGCTCCCCAGGCTGGCAGTGCCCGCGCCGGGGTCGCAGCCCGCTCCGCAGGTYCCCACGGACCCCGGCCGCCTGCGACAGACCGTTCCCGGCCATGGGAACCGCGGCGCTGCCTGTGTCCCACTGACCCAGCTGGGGAAGTGTGATGCATTCCGAAAGCAGAAGCAAAAGCTGACAAACCGCGGCGGCGCGAGAGCCGCCGTGCGAGCCGGCGCCGTCCCGAGCCCACCCGGGAGCCAGCGCTCGGCACCGGGTCCTGCGTCCAAGCCCGGCTCCCGGCGGGAGTCCCCTTGGAAAAAGGGGTGACGGTGACGGGTTGGGCTCCTCTTGCCGCACACGGCCAAAGCCACCGCGCTTCGCGGCGCCTCCACGCCGGCGTTGTTCCCACGGGATGGCTCCTCACGGGAATGTCTGGCAGGCGAGCGACAAGAGGAAGGCGCTGGAGGAGACCATGGCCTACAGCACGCAGTCCCTGGCCAGCGTCACCTACCAGATCGGCGCGCTGGCCGGCAGCTTCCTGGAGCTGCTGGAGCTGCAGGCGGCCGAGCTGCGCAGGGTGGAGGCCGACCTCAACTGCGTGGCCCTGGTGGGTCCCGCCGGGCCCTGCCGCCCCTTGGAAAAGGGGGTGCTCTCCAGGGAAGGGGCGCAGCGGCGGCGGGGAGGAGCGTGCGGCAAYGGTGGGGAGCAGGACCGGCCCCACCGCCGTTCCGGGGGCTCCTCTGGGATCCCCGGCATCCCCTATCCCGGGATTCGGCCGCCGCGTCCCGCGGCCTCCCGCCCTCTTCCTGTCACTTGGAAGTGGCCCGGAGACTTTCCTGTTGGAAAGACGCGGAGTTACCGCTCCGGAAGCGGCCGGCAAAGGGATTAACGGCAGCCGAGGCCGTCGCGCCTCCGTCCCCAGCGCACGGGCCACGTCCCCACRTCCCCGTTAGGACCCCGGGAGCCCGACGGAGCCGCTCCCCGGGTCGGCCCTTCCTTCCCTGCCGCCCGGGAATGGGAAGGTGGCCGGGGGGAGCTGGGGAGGTCCCGGCAGGGCCGGGGGTCAGTGCCGGTGTCCGCAGCTGGTCGACATGCACAAGGAGAAGGTGGCGCGGCGCGAGGTCGGCTCCCTCRCCGGCCCCAGGCGCTTCCCGGCCTCCCAGAAGGTCGTTTCTCCGGCCAGCCCGCCCAGCCTGGAGCCCTATTACAGGAAACCCCTCAACTTCAGCGTCCTGGACGACGTCGGGCACGGCATCAAGGTCAGGAACGAGCAGCATTCCCGCTCCTTCCCCGGGCAGGACGAGCAGCATTCCCGCTCCTTCCCCAGGCAGGACAAGCGGCATTCCCGCTCCTTCCCCGGGCAGGACGAGCATCATTCCTGCTCCATCCCAGGGCAGGATGAACATCATTCCCACTCCATCCCAGGGCAGGAGGAGCATCATTCCCGTTCCTTCCCAGGGTGGGATGAGCATCATTCCCACTCCATCCCAGGGCAGGACAAGCATCATTCCCGTTCCTTCCCAGGGTGGGACGAGCATCATTCCCGCTCCATCCCAGGGCAGGATGAGCATCATTCCCACTCCATCCCAGGGCAGGACGAGCATCATTCCTGCTCCATCCCTGGGTGGGGTGAGCATCATTCCCACACCATCCCAGGGCAGGATGAGCATCATTCCCGCTCCACCCCAAAGCGGGATGTCTGGGCTGCTGCTCTGCTCAGGGAGCAGGGGAGTTGGGGGAGCTCCGGGCAAGCCCTGGTTCCCGGGAATACGGATGAGCCCCAGAGATGTGGTGCGGGGGGAGCACGCTGTCCCCAAGGGGGGGACACGCTGTCCCCTGGGGACACGGGGCGCAGCGGAGGCCACATGAGGGGAAACGGAGGCCGGCAGCCTCCGTGCGGAACCTCCGCTGCCACCGGCCTCCAGCGCCCGGCCTCACCGCCTGCGCGCGCCCGCAGGACCWGAGCACCCAGCTGTCCCGCACCGGCACCCTGGCGCGGAAGGGCGKGAAGGCGGCCGCGGGCACCCTGGGGTGAGGCCGCACGGACGGGACCGGGGCGGGGGGGACGGGACCCCGTCCGGGGGCCCCGTGGGGCGGACGCGGTGCCGCCCGGTGCCATCGTGTCCCCACGCAGGAGGGGCCCGCGCATCCCCGAGCCCGTCCAGCCCCCCGTGGTCCCCGAGGGAAAGCTCTCCGCCGCCTCCTCCTCTTCCTCCTCCTCGCTGGCATCCACCAGGTAGCGCTGCGGGGATGGGGGGCTGCCGTGGGGCGCGAGGGGACCCCCCCTCCTTTGGGGGTCCCTTATGGGGAAACTGAGGCTTGGAGCAAAGCGCTGCCGCCCCGGTTTGGCAGCGTCCCCTGCGCCCGGGGCTGGTCCCCTGCGCTGTGACCCGTGCTGGCCTTGTCCCCGCTGCGACGGCTCTGCTGCCCTCCCTGCAGCTCCGGCGGAGCCCCGGGCCCGGCAGGTGACGGTGTCCCCGCGCCGCCGCCGCCGGCCTCGTGTGTGCCGCCCGCCCTGGGCCTGGCCAGCGTCCCGCCGCCGCCGCCACCGCTGCCCGGGGACCTGCCACCGCCGGGGGACCTGGACCTGCCACCGCCGGGGGACCTG